TGACATCAGAGAAGGCACCCCAGTCTCTGGCTGGTGTGGGACAAAAGGTATCAGAGGATTCCCAGGCCTTGAGATGCTCTGCAGGTCCTGTGAGGTGTGGGGCGGCAAGAGACACCCTCCCCCCCAACTCCAGGGTGCCGTCCCCTTCCAGAAGAATTGATGCCTTTGAGCTGTGGTGTCGGAGAAGAGTACTGAACAGCCCATGGACTGTAAAAAAGAACCAACAAATGCCTTGGAGAGAGTGTGGCCGGAGCCCTCCTTGGAGGTAAGGCTGGTGAAACTTTGTCTCACCAACTTTGGGCACGTTGTTAAGAGAGGCTAATCCTCAAAGGAACATCATGTTTGGAAAGGTGGAGAGTCCACGAAAGAGGGGTAGACCCTCAACCAGCTGATTTGACACAGGGATTGATTGCAGCAATGGGCTCAGGTGTGTCAGAGATGATGAGGATGGTGCATGATAGGACAGGGTTCAGATCTGTGGTTCATAAGGTCGTTATGAGTCCTACTCGACTTGACGGCACCTAACAACAACAACAATCCCACCGAAGCAGGGCTCCAGGGCCTCTGGGCCTGTCGCGATCTCTGTTCTCTGCAGAGCTGGCCCCCGCCCCATCTGCAATGCCCATCACGCCCTGTGGGGAGGCCCACTCTCCATCACCTCCCCACTGCCTGGACGGCTCTGAGTCTGGTGGATGACAGCATTGTCCACTGTATGGACTCTGCGTGCCCAAACATGAGCACAACGGGCTCAGGTCACAGCTAAATGAGCTTCCTCTATGCTGACCGGGGTGGGGGGTGAGGGCAGGACTGTGTTAGCAGAGTCAGAGTGGGGTGCGGCGTGTTCTAGGGAGCAGCCCCTCTGGGGTAAGGGGTGGTCAGTGGTGTGACCCCAGCAAAAACCTGGCTCTGCCTTCCCAGGACCTGTGTTGGGTCACTGTCACCCTGAAGGGTTGGCTTGGCCATGGGGTTCATTGCCCTGCGGTTTGAGGCCCCCAGAAGGCTGAGATACCAAAACCACCTGTCCTCACAGACAGTGACATGTCTACGGCAAGGCCAGATGTGGAGTGGATGCTGAAGGGACAGTTATGTCCTCCCACCTGCTCACAAGTCCATCCACTCCCAAGGGGACAGGCAGGAGGGCCAAGGGGGACGGCTGGGACGTGGTGGCCAGGCGGGGCAGCTGGCAGTAGGTGGGTGAGCTGACTCAGGCCCAGCCATCCGGGGCTGGATTCCTCCTTGCTGTGTCGTGTGACGTGGGCTCTTCACAGGCTTGGACACGTAGGGGGCCACAGCTAGAATGCAGATGACCAGCAGGGCTTGAGTGGTCTTCCTGGCCTGCCCACCCTACAGGAGCCCTTCTGGGGGCTGGCTGGGAGGGGGTCCTGGGCCAACTCTATCATGATGGGGTCCAGAAGGAAGAATTGGGGTACAGCAATATGCATGGAGGAAAGGCGGCGAAACCGGACCCAAGGCCACGAACAGGGAACCGAGTCCTGCAGCCAGCACCAGAGGACCCAGTGTGCCTACGACATGCTGCCTGGACGCTGGGCCTGGGGCTGCCGTCCATGTCCATATGGCCTGGCTGAGTGACACGAGCAGAGAGACAGGGGCTCCTGAACTGGGTCAGGAGGAGGCTGGGCAGGAAGCTGATGGGTGTGTCTTATCACCTCGGCGGCGGCGGTGAGGTTAGCAGAGAGGGTCACATGGCTTCAAACCTCAGGGCTCAGTTCACGTCTGCACAGTGGGGCTCTCGGTGATGCCTTCCTGTGGGGCTATAGATGGGATGGGGCTGTGTGGAGCCACACGCGTCCCAGGGTGCAGGGAACCAGGTCTGGGAGCGCTCTGGCCGGAGCTGAAAGCTGGCACAGAGTGGGTACCGAGGCATATGTCCCGGCGTGACAAGGGACCTCCATCCTGGGCCACCAGGGCCAGCCTCCAGGAGCCCAATCAATCAGCAAATAAAACCCCCCTCCTTCCCTCTAAACGTGTTTCTCAGTCTCACCGGACGCGTAATCTACCATCAGCTGCTGAACATTCTTTTTTCTATTATTTCAGAACTAATTTACGGATTAAAAAATAATTCTTTCAATTACTGTGCAAAGCCCCGGGCAGCCCGATAAACATAGCCAGGCACTCGTGTGCGTGGTTGAGAGCCGGGGGGTGGGTGGGAGGGAGACAGTGCAGGGGGACCTGCAGAGATTTTGAGCTTCGTCCACCCTCCCAGGGTCCTGGGGGTCGGAGTCATGGCTGAGAGGTGGCCCTCAGAACCGGTCCAAATCAGGCTTCCCCGCCCGCCATGAGGAAGCTGTTTGCCTCTGCACCCTTCCCCGAGGTGGGCTGCACCCTGGCTAGGAAACAGATGCCATGGGCCGTGATGGGTTCTATCCATGGGGCATCCCTGTGGCCAGCCTGGCACCCTGGTTTAAATGCCCAGCATGCTTTGTGCTGCTTTAGTTCACTTTCTCAATGGCTTCCAGTGCAGGGGACCAAGCCTGGACAATGCCGCCCGCCTACCCTTCTCACCCTGTCCAGCTACTGACCCCTAAAAAAATCCAGCTGGGTCAGGGGCGGGTGGGTGAGCGAGAGGGATAGGGGTGGCTTCGGGTGGGGGCTGAGCCCAGAACACCGGTCCCATTTTTGTTCCTCCGAGCTCCCCGGCAGGAGGTCCCCCTCCCATGCCTTCTTCAGCCGTCCGCAGGGTGAGCTCATCTCTTCCTGGGCTGTAAATATCACCCAATGCTCACGACTCCCAAATGTGTCCTCCAGCCCAGGCCCCTCCGGAGCTCAGCCCGCACAGCCCACTCGACGCCCCCACCCAGATGTCTCCTAGGCCTTGACAACAGGCGGGTGCTCCTCCCCCTGGAGCCCCCGCCTTGGGGACCAGCACTCCTGCCGGCTGCTCAGGACAGACACTGGAGCCCTGCCCCTGCCCCGCCTCACACACCTGTCCCTGCAGACTTGGGCTCTAGCCATAGCCCCTCCAGTCTCCTCCCCAGCTGGACCATCAGACAAGCTTGCACCCCCTCTCCCCGTCAAAACCTTGTTCCTTCTTGTGGGGGAGGGCGAGATGCAGGCTGCAGATCTCAAGGGACCAGCTGGGGCTCTTGGGTGCCAGGGCCAGTGCCCAGGGAGGTGGGCCCAGTGAGGGCAAGGGTGATCTACAAGCTCCAAGCAAGGTTCAGACAATCGTGCCAGGCACATGCCATTCATGGCCCGTTGCCTAGCGCCCCTCATTGCCCCCCAGCATTCCTCAGTGGGGACCAGTTAGTTCACAGAGGCACTGAGGATCCTGTTCTGGGAGGAGTGCAGGCCGGCAGGGGTCCTTGCAAATGAGTGTTCTGGTGTGCTGGTGCTGCCTTTTCCACTGACTGTTAGAGGGGCTATGCAGATCTGAGAGCACCATAGAATGCATGAGCCCCCAGCCTCAGCTTGGACCCCTGCTGCCCTGGGCCTCAAAGCTGGTTGTGTGGGCGTCTTCCTGGACATGGTGAGGACAGCTTAGGAGAAGCTGGGATCAAGAAAGCCCTTCCTGTGCCCCTTGAACCCACACCACGCTCGCACCCAGGTTGGAGGAATCCTGGAGGGTGGTGAATCTGTGAGCCCAAGGCAGGGCCGTCAACCCCAGGCCACCAGGCCCTCCAGAGCTGGCTCTGCCTGGCAGCAAGAGCTGCTGGGAGGTGCAGGGCAGCAATGGAAACTTCTGGGGCCAAGAAAGTCTTGGGCAAACAGCGTCCCCAACTGTGCCGGGCCCACCAGAACCACCAGGCCTGAGCATCTTGGACGTGCGAATGTCCACACTGCAAGGGGCAAACCTGGCCCTTCGTCCTCCGGGAAACATCCTGAGGGTCTGAGAGAGGAGACTGGCATAAGCAGGACAACCTGAGGAAGCCCAGAACCAGTCACTGGGCCAGTGCCACCCTTGAGGACCTGCCAGGGCGCCCTAGAGACAGAAGTTCACAGGTTGGGCCCTGGCAAGGCCTCATTACCCCACATAGCCTAGCTTGACGGCGTGGGGCCCTAGACCCTTACCTGGGCAACGGCATACAGGGGCTGGACGGAGGAGGTAGGGGGGCTGTGGAAGCAGAGTCTGCCCCCTTTTTGCTCCCCCTCCTCCCTCCCTCCAGCTCCAGGAGCCCCTGCCACCCCCACAGCCATCTGGTTCCTCCAGCTCTGATCCCCCCCACTCCTCCCTCCCTCCCTGCTCCTCTCCCGCCCCCTCCCCCAAGCCCTGCCCCATGGGGGAGCCTCTAGCAGCCACATGGCACCGTTCTCTTTTGTTTGAGCCCTCCCGAGTCCCCAAAACCCAAAGATGTGCGTTGGCACCCATGCTGTGGGGTCTGTGTCCCTGTGAGCACATGCACTCGTCTTGTGTCTGTGTGCACGTGTGCCCTACACGCATGTCCATGTGTGCACGTGAGTCTGCAGGGCCCTGTAGAGACTCACGTGGTCTGCGTCTGGGGTGTGGACGTGGTGTGAGAGGGTGTGGCGGCACGCAGTGGGAGCCTGCAGCTATGTGAGGGGCGTGTGGCCCAGCTGGCTCTAAGAGCGGAGAGTGCTGTCAGCCTCACCACCCAGCCCTCCTTCTCCACTGGACCACCTCTACCTCCCTGTCCAGCACGGGGAGCTGGGGCCAGCCTTCTCACTGCCACAGCACCCTCAGCCCGAGAGGCCACAACTTTAGAAAAGAGCTCTTTATTCCACATCGTCCAGTATTTTTTTTTTTACACAAGTAAAATAAAATGCATATCTCTATGTTCCGTGATCCGGGCGGGAGGCAGCGTTCTGCAATAAACGCAGCCACACCCTGTAAACATGATGGGGTGGAGATGGGGGCTGCGGGCAGGAGGCGTCCACCAGGGAGGGCCTGCCCTGCCCACGGGCTCTGCTCGGTGTTGATGCCCGGCTGGCAGGGGCACCGGGCCCGGGCTGGTGCATGGAGAGCCCGTATGTACACACACCTGGTTGTAGAAGAAAGGCCTTGTGTTCTGGGGGCGGGCTGGTCAGCAGGGCCCGAGCACTGTCCACAGCGCCAGTGCCAGGCCCAGGGGGACGAGGCTGTAGGCAAAGCTGGGCAGGGCGCTGGAGCCCTCCACCTCACCGGCCCCGCCACCCCCGCCAGCCGCCTGGCCCATGCGGCACTGGCTGCGGGTACGGTTCTTTCGGGAGCAGCCCGGCCTCCTGCGTGGGCCCGTGGTGGGGGGTCCCGGCAGCTCGGAGCCCTCGGGCTGCAGCCCAGTCAGTGGAGGCTCGGCTGAGCCGGGCAGGGTCCCGAAGGGGGAGTCATTGCTGTGCCGGGGGCTGGAGCCGTTGCCGGGCGGGCTGTCACCGGGCGGCGCGCGTCCCTTGAGCGCATTGCCAGCGGAGGCTGGGCTCCCTGGCTCCATCACTGAGGCCTTGTCCACAATGTCCGACTGGCAGCACTTGGGCAGTCCCAACAGGTCCTCGTCGGTGAGCCCGCCGGTCCGGATGGGGCGGGACGGCCTAGCGGCCGTGGCGCAGCCCTCCAGGTCGGTGGCGGCCAGGCGCTTGAGGTCGTGGCTGGCCAGGTGCGGGGGCAGGCTGCAGAGCAGCTCTGAGGAGGAGCCTCGGAACTGCTGCAGCCAGGCCCAGAGTGGGCGCGCCCGGCAGTCACACACCCAGGGGTTGTCATTGAGCCGCAGGTACTGCAGGGAGCGCAGGGGCGCCAGGGCCTCAGCCGGCAGGGCCGAGAGATTGTTGGCGAACAGGTAGAGCGTCATGAGGCGGCCGAGGTCACGGAAGGCGTGGGGGTGCACGTGGGCCACGCGGTTCTGGTGCAGCAGGAGACGGTCGAGGCTGTGCAGGCCGCGGAGGGCCCGCTCAGGAACGCTGGGGATGCGGTTGCCATGCAGGAAGAGGTGCGTGAGGTTGCCCAGATCGCGGAAGGCGTTGTCGGGCAGGGCCTGCAGCCCGTTGTCCTGCAGGTAGAGGTACTGCAGGGCCACCAGGCCGTGGAAGAGGCCCGGGCCCAGCTCCTGCAGGCCGCAGCGGTCCAGGTGCAGCGTGTGCAGGCGGCTCAGGCCCCGGAACGTGGCGGGGTCCACGAAGCGCAGCTGTGCGTTGTCGCTGAGGTCCAGCTGCTCCAGGAGGCCCAGGCCAGCGAAGGCGGCCGCGTCGATGCGGGCCAGCGCGTTGGAGTGCAGCCACAGGATGGTGAGGTTGCGGCAGGCGCGGAAGCCGGCGGCCGGCACGTGGGCGATGCGGTTCCCGTGCAGGAAGACGCGCTGGCTGGCCGCTGGGATGTCGGCGGGCAGGGCCTGCAGGCCCTGCTGCGGGCAGCTCGTCGTCACCTTGGGCTCATTGTAACACACGCAGGCGCCTGGGCACGGCGCCACCACCCTCCACGCCTGCAGCCACAGCAACCACGCCAGGAGCTGGCTCCCTGTGGGCAGACAACAGGCGGTTAGGGGGGCAGATTCCCGAGGCGTGGGGGTGCTGGGGCCACCACGCTGGCCCCCGGGATGGATGCAGCAGCTGATGTTGAGGACCCCTGCTCAATACACCATATACAAGCTGCTGCCCCCACCCTCAGAAACACTCCCCCTCCAGGCCTGCACTCCTCACCCACTCTCGGCAAGGAAGTCAGCCTGGCCCTCTCCCCAAGGCCAACCGTTGGCCTCCTGGGACCACATGATCATGCCTGCAACCTTAGGATTCCATTGAACCCAGAGCACCCGAACTTGACCATCACTGCCACTTACCCTTGTGCTGTCCTGTCTGGACCTACGTCCTGTTTCCCACCCCCAGCCCTCAGCCAAGAGAGACAGGGGGCTTTTGACAAGCACACGGGGGTCCTGTGGATCCACACCCACTCCTGTGAGGATGAAGTCCCTCCCGAGAACCCGGCTGAGTTATAGTCGGAGAGAAGGGCTGTGGCCGGAACCCTAAGTCCCGCTCAGGTGTGGAACTGTGAAGGCCGTGGAGTCACCAGATTCTTGGGGCTCTGGAGTTGGGCCAGGAGTTGAGCTTTAATCAAGGGATTGGGGTGGAGGTTCCCAACAACAGGGCTGGGGAAACACTTCTGTGGACCCCGCGGGGCTTTGGGAGGGAGCAGGCTTCCCGGAGAAGCGGCCCCTCCCTCCACGCCTCCCCCTCAGCCGCTGCAGTGTTGGAAACGCTTCCTGCTTTGGTGGTGGAACACTTCCCACAGCCTCCTCCCTGCGGCCTCATTCTCGCCTTGATTTCCGCCCGGATCGAGGCGTTCACCCCTTCGCAGCCAATCCCTGTGCAGCTGCCCTCAATTTTTGCACCCGGAGGGTGCCCTGACATTGGGGCAGGGATGGCAGGGATGACCAGGTCCCCGCTGCGTCCTCTCTGGGCCACTTCTCAGCGAGCCCTTCCCCAGCCCCACATGCCATGCCGGACTCCTCCAAAGACCAAAGACGCATCTGGGCGGAGAGTCCTCTTGGGGTATCAGGCCCTGGTCTCCAGGGCTCAGCATCCCAACACCCAGCTTTACTGCTCATCCTTGTACTGTTGGGCCCACCCTCCCCCCAACAATGCTGGTTCCCTCTGCCTTTCGGGAGAGAGTCTATTAAAATGTGAATCCCCTGGGAAGGTTAAGGCTTATCAGCTAACACTTGAGTTATCAGCTAACACCTTCCTTGACAGCTAACACCTTCCTTGGCAGCTGGCTAAGAGCAGGATTCGGCAGCTATGAGGTCAGCTAAGCGTCCGGGGTCAGAACCGGGAGGTGTGAGACCGAGACCACAGCCAACCTGCCCGCCCTGACCGTGACCCTGGGGCCGCGCCTCCCCCACACTTCCCCCTCCCCTAAATACCACTCTAAGTCCCTTCCTGCCTCAATCCAGTGAACACACAACCCTGAGGCTGCCAAGTGCATATGATGCTGGAACTCTACCTACTTCAGCGGAGACCACCTCCTCCTCACTGCAGCCCCCTCTGCCCTCCACCCTGTCACATGACTGGGACTGGGAGCCCTTTCTTGGTCACCTGGGAGAAGGCAGCTCCACGATGGCAATCCAGAGGGACAGACCTGGCCCAGGAGGCCCCAGAGTGGGGTGGGACCTCCTCGGGCTGGCTAGCAGGAACCCTCACCTTCCCGGCCAGGCGGGGTGTGTGTGTGTGTGTGTGTGTGTGTGTGTGTGTGTGTGTGGTGAGGGTGTTCTATTTCAGTTGCTCACACTGCTCCCCACTCTCTCACACACGTCCTCTGTCACGGGAGGCAGCTAGGCTATGTAAGCACGTCTTCTTGTCCCTGGGTCCCGGCCAGCACAGGCGTAGGGCAGGGCCGGGGGCGGCAGCCCCCAGTGAACACTGGGGTGGGCCTAGTCCTCATCAAGAAGGAAGGGTAACGTAATCACTCACACTGCATCATGCCTACGCCACGTCACCGCACCCTGTCATCCGCTGAGCTTTATCATCAACTGAAGAACATCAAAGTCGGGGCCGTACCGCCAGCCCAGCCACACCACCACCACGCTGCCACGTGGGACACGCCACATCGCCCACAGCACCGTGTCCCGAGCTTCCCGCCTGAAGCTGGGCTGGGCAAGCTGGGCTGGGCAAGCTGGGCTGGGCAAGCTGGGCTGGGCAAGCTGGGCTGGGCAAGCTGGGCTGGGCGCAGGCTTCTAGAACCACCAGAACAAGCAGGCTGTCTCTCTGCCCTCTGGCCTGGGCTTCCAGAAGGCCGTGTGATCTGTGGCCTCTTGAGGCTCTGACACCTGCTCTGAGCACCCAGATCAAGGCTTCAAGGCCCAGGGGGGCAGCGGCCCGGCTCCGTGGTCCAGCCCGAGCCAGTGGAATGTGGCGCCAGGGTGGGTTCGTCCTTGCAGTAATTGGCTCTAACCCATCCCTCCACCTGCCCACTGGTCTCCATGGCAACCCCTCCTGTCAAAGAGCGGGCTTGGGGCAGCTGGTGAAAGACACAAACCCACTTTCGTGTCATATTCACATCAGGTGAATCAGGGGAGGATCAGGTGAATTCACATCAGGGGACAGCATCCTGGGGTCCCTCACCTGACCCCCAATAAAGGCTTCTCTGACCATCAAGGCCTTTCCCGTTCTGAGTCCGCATCCTTCCATCAACCTCTATCTTTCCACTGATTTCTTCATTCTATTCATTTCCCAGTTCCTTGAACATTCATTTAAGACACGACCTTAGAACGCACTATGGAAGAACATCACTGATATGGCTTAGTTCACCCAGAAATCAAGGATGGGGAGTGTCCATCAAGACCACCTCCACATTGGTCACAGCCCCCTGACAGCTGGGCCACCTGGCCACCTAGACCTCCTGAGACTCCCCACATATGGTTTTTCTGACTCTCTAGCCTGTGGTTACACTCCTCTCTGTCATCCAGAGCCAACAGGACCCTCCCACCCCCACCCCATGGCCGTCCACTGAGACCGCAGCTTCTCTTCCTTGGACCATTGGTGCGGGTTAGCCTTCCCCAGAGGGGCCACACTGGCGCTTCAGGCCAGGGGCTCCAGTAAGTGGAAGATGGCATTGTGGGGAGCTGGCTGGGGTCAGGGGGAGGACGGTCTGCCGGTGCAGAAGGCATCAAGAGTTCTGGAGGTGGGTGGGGAGACTGGACACTGGCCCAAGGCCTTGCCCCACAGCAGTAACCATGGAATGCCAGACCCCAGGAGGACGCATAGAAAAATCAAATCGAGCAGGTGGTGAGGTGCTGCCCAGAGGTGACGAGGCCAGAGGACCAGGGCCTCGATAAGAGGAAGGGGCTGAGTGGCAGGGCTGCGGGGAGCCTCGTGCCATGTAGAAAGAGAGGGAAAGAAATGAAGGAGCAAGGGAAGCTCTGCTGGCCTAATGGCAAGAAGCTGCACTCTGCAATCCCAGAGGCGCACGGTTCGAATCCACCAGATGCTCTGCCAGGGAAGGAGGGACAATTTCCTCCTGTACCAGTCAGATCTGATTTGACGGTACACACACACACACACACACACACACACATCAAAATTAAAAAAAAGAAAAAAGAAATGAAGGATCAAGACTCAGGAAGGAGAATGAGGAGTGGAGATGTGGGGTTGGTGGAGAGCCATGCGGGACCCCCAGAAGCCTCAGCCAGGCAGAGGAGGTCAGCACCTCCTAGAGCTGGGGCCAGGGGTCACATTGGTCACGGTGGCCAGCTAGTGGGCAGATCTTTGGGGCCATTCCTGGGTCCTGTCACTGACTGGGTCCCTTCTTTCTTCACATGCAGCTGAGATGCCAAATAGGATGTGATTTCCCCCAAAGTGACTCCCATTCTTGAATTTATCTGTCCTCCCCTCACAAGTGTCCAGTGCCTGGGTGGCCCAGGCCTCTCTCTGCTGCAGGTCCCCGTTCTCTGTTCCTCGCTGCCTGGATCCTGTCATCCTCAGAGCCCTCAACAGTTCAGGCCAGCAGAGTCCTCCAACTGAGCAAGGTCGCTGTCATCAAGGCAGGCATGCTGAGGAGCGAGAAGCAGAAGTTCCACCTCCCCACACGGGCCTCCCGGCTTCGCTGGTCATTGGCAGCCCTGGAGACCCTAGCGGTCTGTCCATACGCAGCCCAGCACCTATGGGGCTCCATCTTGTCCTTGTGCAGTGGCGGGGGGAGGCAGTCATGCAGTTCATAGGTTGAGGGATCTGCCTCTCACACTGACTGTAATCACATTCTCTCTTGTCATCAGCCCATTGTACAGGCTAGGAGACTGAGGCAGGGAATGGGTGAACCTCAGTAGGAAGGAAAGAGCAGAATCCAAGTGCTGCACTCCCCCACCCTCAGGACAGTGTGGAGGAGAGGTGGGCAAGGAAGGAAGCCACAGTGCCACGGGAGGGGGCCACAAGGTGAGAGGGCAAGAGGCAAGCTCGGCCATGCTGGTCCTTCTTATATGGGGAGGGGCTGAGGGTAAGGGTAGCCATGGTGCACCTGGAACACTGGTCAACTCAGGACCCTCACCAATGCCAACAACGTCCTTCGAGGGACCATGTCACAGCTCGCAGGCGGTCACAGCTCAGTCTCAGCACAGGAGACCAGAAATAGCTTGTGGGGAGTGCCGTCCGCACCCCCGTCGCTGGGCCCTGCTGCTGCCGGCCCTCCACATGCACCCAGTCCCCGCTCTTCCATCGTCCATCTGCTGGGCCCCCACATCCTCACACACGTCACTCCCACCACCCACTTTCTGTCCGTCCTGGCCCGGACATCTCTGCACCCACAGGCGCGCGCTGGGGCAGCGGACAGCTCCACAGCGCTTCGGGCGCCTCCTCCCTGGGCCAGACTCTGGGGATGGTGACAGCAGCCCCAGGGGGCTCAGCTCACCCTTACAGGGGCCCTGTAACTTCTAGGGGTATGGCCTCTGCTCCCTCCCTGCGGGTGACCCAGGAAGAGGAGGCTTGGCAGCGGAGCATGTGGGGCTGCATCTGTCCTGTCAGCCAGGCTAAGCTGCCCCCTCCGAGGCCCTGCTCCTTATTGATCTCGGTGCAGGCTGCAGGGGAGAGCGGGCAGCAGCGGGCTGGAGCTCTGCAGGGCCATGCCAGGCAAGGTCACCCACATGGTAAGAGACTGGGCTGAGACAGCGGCCAGTGCCAGCCTTGTACATGGGGGAAACTGAGGCTCAGCGTGGGTGAAAGAGAGGCTTGTCTGGGCTCCTGAAAGATGCCACAAGGGCCATGCCAGGGGGGACCAGGACCCAGGCCTGAC